CTGAAGACATTAAGCGGTGGAACCCTCTCTGGACACAAGACCCATCATTTTAGAAACACACACCGTCCTAGAGGACACACAGATTTTAAATGTATTTAATAAACAAAGGATTGTGAGGAAATAAAAACAGAGTTCCTGCTTTGCTGCATTTGTTTATCATGCTGTCAGTTTGACCAAAGACACGTTGCTCTGTGTCACAAGATATGATGACCTCGTATCTAACATCTAACATTCGATCTATTCTGCTTTTATGTCTTTAATGAGTGAAACCATATTTTGGCAGAAATAATATTCAGAAATATATTTGTGACATTTGTGGAAAAAAACAACAAGTTACTTGCAGGAGAACAAAAATACGGACAAAAATGACAAGGTTGAAATTAGGCAGAGCCTTTAACTAACACCTGCCATACACTGTTTACACTGATAGAGATGTTTATCTCACTTTTGTCTGTGCGCCACTGCTTTGTGATGAAAGGTATTGTAACAATGCTGTTTTTGTCAGTAACATCTGAGGCCATGTCTGGCTGCAGCTCACACTCTCGGTGGTGATAAATGGTTAGAAGCTCGTCCTAATCCTTTCGCCGTCGTCGCTCTTGATGTCGTGATTTTCGACCTTGTTTCTCTGTGAAAATTGTTTCCTCATTTGCCTAAACAACGGCCCCACCCTCCACCGCTCTGTCTTTGGCAGTGTTTACTTCTACCCTCGTCTTTTTGTCTAAACATGAGAGGAGTTCTGTTGTGGACTTGTATGTGAAACAGAACACACAGCGCGGCTGCTTTGCATACCAACAGTAGAGATACTGCGTTTGTCAGATTAGGTATTGACATTTGTTTGCATCTTGTTGACTCCAGTGTAAGATTAAAAAAAAAGTCATTATAGTCTCATTAATATTGAGAAAATATATAAATATAATGATTATATCACTAAATACATTTTTAAGTAGCGAGAACTGGAAAAAATACTGGTCTAAAAAAATAGGAAAATACTCTTTCAAGTTAATAATCATTAAAATAAAGAAATAAAGTTGTGACTGAATCCATATTAATCCTGTATGTTGTCATTTTAGATCTACAACGACAAGACCAAACATGGTTGTGTTTCTTCTTTTCTTTTTCTCATGGACTCGGAGCTACTCCACTTTGTTTGGTGCCATTTTGGACTTTTAAGTGTATCAAACGGGCAAGGAAACAGCTAAGCCCGGTGAATACAGCAGAGCTTTGATGAATAACCAGAAAGTTTCAGTTGAAAAGACAGGGCGCGGGTGGGGCCAGATATACACGAAGAAGCTGTCTTTATTGTAAGCTGATGAGTAAGAACACGCTCATGTTTTCGCAAAACTGTAATGCTCCAGTTAAACACTGAGACATTAGTAACGTGGTTTCAAAACAGACCTGTCAAAATACTATAATTAGTGGCTTATGAAATATTTTTGAGGTGGGGTGTATTGTACAATTATAATAAACTCATGGCTGCCATAAATAGCATGAAGGAATGCATGGAATCAACACAGAATTCTGCTGCTATTTTCAACTGCTGTCTGCCTCTGAGACTGCGAAGACACTCGGTGATCTTTATACGTTCTCAGCAGCGTTACTGTCTGCAAAACATGCATAGCCAACAGTGGGAGGTGTACAAACTAATTCCTCCCCAGGCTAACAGCTTCCCAGGGTTATTTTTAGAGTACTTTTGAACAATTTAGGGTGCTCACATTCTTTTTTCTCAGACACGAAGATTTTTGACAGATTTACTTTAGGCAATTTGAAATTATTACATTTTTGAGAACACACGCATCAATAACCCAGCGATGTGTCGGAAGTAGTGTAATTATCATGAGTGCATAAAGTCATCTTTTTCCCCCTAGTCCTTCTATAGTGTTGTATTGAAAACCTCATGATCTTTTCATTTCCTGAAAACATATGGCAGATTATAATATATTTAACTTGAATTTAAATACTTGCTTAAAGTTTCATGTTGTTTGCTGCCATAAACCACAATAATATCTGTATACGTATGATGTATAGCAAACTGTCAATTTAATGTAGTAGTAAATGAGAAATAACTCAAAAATATATTCTAAACATTTATGGTACAATCAATAATTTACACTTAAATAAAAAATAATTTGAAAATTAAACAACTCCAACTCTCTGACGTGGTATGATGTAAGTAGGTTTCCCCGTGGCTGTAATACTCATAAATGTATAATATCACCATCTAAGAATTTGTGTGTGTATTTAAGGAGAACACGGTGCCAGTGGAAAAACTGAACCGTGTCAACAATAACGAATGTGAAGCCTGTCAACCTGCGTCACTGGCTTCTACATTCCACCACTAAAACGATTGACACCTGAGGTCAGAGCCACGGTCCCAGTGACAGTGACATTTGCAAACGTCTACACCAGGTCTTACTGTTATGAAAAACACTTTTGAGCTGTTATCCACAGTGTTTGTCTGCTACGCCTACTCAAACATCCCAGTCATTGTTTCCCTGAGCCCGAGGAAACAATGACTGTGATGTTATTTCTCATAACCAATCTCTATTTTCTTCTTCCTCACAGTTGCACTAGTTAAAACAAAACAAAAAAAAAACTTAGTCAAACTTAGTTTTCGCACTCACCGCAAAATACTTTAAAGCATTAATTGTTAATTAGGCCACCAACGTTGACAGCGTCACAGAAAGTACAATACAATTAGAGCAGAAATTTATGACAGTATGATAATGGCTGTGGAAAGTGCAGCTGTGCACACTCCGGGATAATGGTTTTGAATTTTACGTCCCAGCGGTTTGTGCAGAGTGATTACAAAACCATTTATACTTTCATGCAAATTTACTTTTACATACACCGGTTTTCAAACATTTGGTAACTAATATGCTTACTAATATTTCAAATATTATCAGGTTTATATTTGTGGACATTTCGTTGAATATTTGTATTGTGTATTATTGTAGAAATTCTGGATTATAAATTAACAAATGCGTACAAACAGATTTTCCTTTACTCTAATGTAGCCTAGCCACAGTGATTTATCAAAGTAGTTTGAACCCATGCAGCGAGGTCAACACTGAAGTTAGTTAGCAAATTTAGCGCTGTAGCACAGTTGGCCTTCACCTGTCCTAGCCTCTAACGATCAACTTTTTGATAAAATGTTAAATCAAATATAACTTATTTTGTTAGTGAGTAAAATACGAATCTTTTGCTTTTATGTTAAACGTTCAAATGAATTATAAAGCAGCATATTTACATAAGCAAGTGTACCAACTTCTCTGACTGCTGATGTTCGTATAAATATATATTTTTTAATTGTATTATTATTATCGTGTCTTTTTTAACTGATGTGAAGGGAAGTGAGGTAAAACATATTCCTGTCTGGTGCCGCCTGTGGAGCAGAAACAGATAAGCTGTTATTAAGTAGATTCTGATGTATACATGAGCAAGGTGTCTTTACAAGCTGCTACATGCAGTGAAAAGAATGACTACATGGTATGTGAGCTCTTGTCATTGTGTGGTTAGCTTACAGGAATCCATCCTTGACATGCCACCTTTCAAAATAGTGACTTCACCTGGGATTGGGTGTCGCACTTAACACAAACTGATCATTAGCTGGAAATCAAAAACACTCAAGCCAAGCACAAACATGTGTACCCCACATGCAAAGTAGTAGCTTGGAAAATATGGTTGGTATAAACAAAGGGTTAAGCGCTCGGTGTAAAAACAGTGTATTAGTGGTCATAGTGCGATGTCAACATTGGTTTCCAGGTGCCATGCGAGGATAATATTTTTCCATTTTGATCGCTAGCTATGATGTTATACAAAAACGGAGGAAAGCAGTAATTTGGCCTGACGATTTGCAGGATATAAGACCATCAATTATACAGCTTGAGTTCCTGTGCCGGGTGAACCTGAGGGAACGAGTGGGAGGAAATCCATTCACAGAGTTGTAATAAATGAGAAGGAGACACTAGCAGTTTCTAATTAGGGACATCATATACTGTATTGTTCAGAAGAGTCTGGAATTGATATTTTCAGGCGTTTGTTTCCATCACTTGTACTGGAGAATATGACCTCAAACACCACTCTGCACCTTCACACAGAAGGAAGGAAATAACCATTTGACAAATATTACAAAGAACTCACGATAGCCTCCAGAGATTATTCTAAATGTCAGGGTTGTGTTCAGCGTTGTAGTGATCTTCATTTAAAGTAAAACACTCTTTTGATATTTTTTGGAGTTTAAAGCAAAAAAATATATAATGCTTTTAACTTTATTTCTTTTTTGGGGTGTACAACTTCACAGTAGAGTGAAGCGTTGGATTCTAATACTCGTTTTTTTTTTTTTTTTTTTCTTTTTGTCACTACGCCAGAGGCCAGTGATTGACTGTTGGCCCTGACACGTCTGTCTGTCTGGATTAATTTCTACACCCAAGGTTACATTTCTTATCTCCAAACTGAAATTAACTACCTGAATTTGTGGGAAACGTGTTCACCTGGTATTACACACTGTATATAAACAGTGTTGGTACAACAGCACAGTAAACACCCAGACCAAGGCAACTGACAGGTTTATGATGTTAACAGTAAGCAAATTCTGTCTAAAGTAAAAAAAAAAAAAAAAATCTTGTTCATACATAGAAATAATACTAAATAGTCACAGTTAGCTTCATTTGTCGTTGAACAAGTATTCTTGTTTATTGACTATAAACACTAAAGTGTTGATAGAGTTACATCACTTGTGAACTTGTTAATATTAAGTATTTATAATGAGTTGAAATACATTTTACTATGTTTTTGCATTTATTTTCACATTTTGATTTTTCATAAGAGAAACTACTGTGAGTGCCATGCTCAGCCCTAGGGCCATACTTTGAACTCACTAAGTGCACCCCACTGCTGTACCAGAACAACAGAGGTCATGGTGGGGCCTGGTGCTTGGTAATGTGGTACTAACACCCCAGAGTTCAGCAGAGGAGAAGAGACGGTGCTGTCTTTGTGAAGGAACGATCATCTTCTACCTCACTGACTTCAACACTGCTCTTCAAAATGGAACAAAACGTTCCCTGTGACGAGAATGTAAAACATCTCTGATGGTGTGTGAAAGGGAGACGGTTCTAGCTGTAAACACACTGCTGCTTGAATTTGACAAATGATATAGTGAACCATACCTGCAGGCACCGCACCTTAGAAATACAAAGGAAAAATACGCCACCTGGTTGTCTCAGGTGAAACAGTCCCAAGGTGATTGGCCGATCATGTTTCCCAGGTGAGACAGTCATAAAGCTGCACTGAATGGGAATTCGGCTGAGCTGTCTTCTCCCATTAATAGCAAATGCTTTTCTTTGGAGTCATGACGACACGTTTATTGTGATCCATTGTTTGATTAGAGAATATCGCGTGTACAATGGAAAAATATTGGATGATGCTCTAATTCATTTAGCCCCGCCCGCTTGGGGTTGGTCTTGAGGTAAGTCGGCTATAAACTGCTGCTCTCACACACGCTGAAGGTGAGATGGGCTGCAGTCCACATGTAGGTATGACAGCAGCAGCGCAAATCTTTGGATCTCATTCAAAACAGTCTCCATCCTGACACAGCCAGGTCACGTGGAGAGCAGCGGGCAGAGCAACATCACAGAGGATCAACACAGAGAACGGGATGAAGCTGGAAGTGATGTGCGGGAGCCACTATGATATCAAATATTTGGAGATGTCGAGTGATGCAGATGGGGGGAGTGTGCGCTCCTCTCTCTCTGCTGAGGAGGAGCTGGGCTCGGATGGAGACTGCGTGGCTCACAGCCCGTCACCTGTCACTGCGTGCGTCGGCAACATCAAGTCCAAGCCCTACACACGGAGACCCAAACCCCCGTTTTCCTACATCGCTCTTATCGCCATGGCCATCCGGGACTCTCCCTGTGGTCGCTTGACTTTGGCTGAAATAAACGAATACCTGATGAAAAAGTTTCCCTTCTTCAGAGGCAGCTACACTGGTTGGAGGAACTCCGTGCGGCACAACCTGTCTCTGAACGACTGCTTTCTCAAAGTGCTGCGGGACCCCTCCAGGCCGTGGGGCAAAGACAATTACTGGATGCTGAATCCCCACAGCGAATACACGTTTGCTGATGGCGTGTTTCGGCGCAGGAGGAAGCGTATTAACAAAAAGCACAGCGCCGAGCAGGAGGTGTCCGAGCGCGCAGAGGAGCCGCGGAGCAGCGCGCAGCCCGCGGCCGTGACCACGACTGACTCATGTCCTAAATTCACGAGTTCGTTTGCAATAGACAGCATTCTGAGCAAGCCCTTCAAGAGAGACTTGAACAAGGAGGTTTTCCCTGTCCTCCCTGCGTTCACCTGGCCGCACTACACTGACCTGATGACGCCTCATTCGAACACACTCGCCTCATTCCCGTGCGTAAAGACGCCGTGCCATGTAAACCCCTGCGCCGCTCCGCAAGTGGCAAACGACTATGGCTATGGGCTGGTCTCACAGACAGTTTTCCAGTACCAGAGATAAACTCTGTTTTTGTTATAATAATAATTATTATTGTTATTGTGAACGTGCACTGATGATGGACACAGAGGGTGGACATGACCAAACACCAAAGCTCCTCCGTCTGTGTTGGGATTACATGGCTTCGATATTATTCTGGTGACATGGTGTTACATCTGTTTGTACCTCTGGTCATTTACTTTTAAAGCACTATCAGAATTGATATTGAATTTATACACATTTCTTTGTCGAGCTGTTACTGAATTAATGACATGTTTTGATGGTGTTTCAATAAATGTATTTCGACTGTATTTGCGTCTCATTCTTTCATATATATTTATACAAAAAAGTCAGACAGATTTATGCTGGTGTTGATGCTTGAACTTGAAATGCTGTGGTCCCGAGAGGGGCCTGACACTGGTGCGAGATATAAACACTTGACTCCTCGTAAATACTTGGAGTGCTCTGCTGAGGGAGAGGCTGCAGGTGCAGTAAGGTCCTCCTACAAACACATCCTCCCCCTCTGCAGAAAACTGCTGGTGCCCCGTGAGAAAAATGTTTCACTTCTTCCAAAAAAAAAAAAAGTTTAAAATAAAACCAATTGTTTCTTGTACATCTACATTTGTCCAGTGTAGCAATGGTTTACACAATAGTTTGAATTTGTGGAAAAAAATATTTATTGTTTATCCTACATCTATATTCTATATTGGGAATGTATCCAATTATGATTGACGTGGACCCAGGGGGAAATGCGACCCGAGGTTAATCGGAAGGAAGACAAGAAGTTAACAAAACATTCAGGCTAGACTGTTAAGGTCAAGTTCAAGGTCAAGTTGTCTGTCTGTCTTATCAAACCATCTATCGCTTTCGAACAAAAATAAGCTCCATGGGAGCAGACAAAAGAAGTAGAAAGAAGAAACACAAAGTACACAATTCAGATAAATCAAATCAATTAATATAAAAAAACCGTAAAGTATTAATTTTTGTGTAATACCTCAACAACAATCAACAAATGAATCAATGTCTGTAATGGTCACTACTACTACTACTACTACCACTACCTCTATTGCAACTACTAATATTTCTACTACTATCAATATTATATTTATAACTACCACAGCTGCTACCTTAACTATTATAACTATTGATAATACAAATCTTCCACTATTTGTGTGACTAGTACTTCTGCTACTATTGTAGTACTATAACGACAACAGCTAACAACAACAACAACAACAACAACAACAATAATATACCATAATAATCATCTTTATATAAAACATGGATTATTGGATAAATGTGACACTTTAGGCATTGGACACAAATCAGTTTCATTATACAACAAGGATTATTATTAATAATAATGGTAATAATAATAATAATAATAAAGCAGAGGGCAGGCAGCTGTGTTTCCCCTGAACTGATCAGATTGAACCTCCGAACACGGTTCTTTTCCATTCACGAATCCCTGTTTGCAGCAGGTTGAATGCTTTGTGATAAACAGGCTAGACTCTATTCTGGCGTCACGGCTATTATAAAGTGTGATGACTTGCTCTAAATTGCCCTCTTGCACGAAGAAGCCATTATACAGTTACAAACGTCACAGGAACGTCATTAGAATATCACAGTGTCCAACTCCCTTTGTGGCCCTTTTCACGTTTTACAATCATTGCATTTCTCCAGGGATGTAATCCAGACCCCATGAGGTAAACTGACACTGGTGCACTGTGTGTGGTACACTGGCACGCTCTGATGAAAAAAGCATGCTTCCTCTCTCATGTCACAGCACTAACCCTGAACAGATCCCAAACAAAGCGGACTCCTCTTGTGCACCTTTGCAACCTGAAACCCCACTGTTACTTGTTGCATAAATGATACAAGAGCCGTGATTTATCTAAACTTGTCAAGTTGTCGTGCCAAATAATTGGCCTGACAAATGTGGACATATAGGTGTTTTGGAATGAGGGTCGGCCGGGGTAGGGGGGGAGGAGATTTGTCTTCTACTCCACTGTGCCGTGTCCGGCTCCTAGTCTGGATCCGGGCCAGATGGGGAGGGAGCAGTTCCTGGCGATTTCTTGGAGGGATTTGGGGGGATTGAGGGGCAGAGACAGAGATTTTAGAAATGATAGGTGGTCGAGTTGTGTTTGGCTGAGTGGATATGCGCAAGCAGAGACGAGGATCCTTGTTGCCCCCCCCCCTCTCATTTGGAGTTATTGCCAGCGATGGACAGAGGGAGGAAGGTGCAGCGGCTGGCATTTCAGGGTTATGAACGTGTGGAGCATTGCAAAGAGATCCTGATCTTTTTAAAAGGAAAACTTTAATAGCTCCTGACAGAGAAGAGTGAGTTGTCCAAGTGTTACAGAAACCTCACAGTGGTTGAATCCAAAAAACAAAGCCGCAACCATGACGACAGAGAGCTCCAACCAACATTTGGATCCATCCAACCCTTCACGCTCAGGCCAAACGCCCGGTGCTCTGAGCTCAGCTCTGCTGAGCGCGCAGCCAGTGATGGAGAACACACATTCTGCATCAGCTAAAGGCAAGAAGGGAAACATGGGCTTGAGGCGCCCAGAAAAGCCCCCGTACTCATACATTGCCCTGATTGTGATGGCAATCCAAAGCTCACCGACGAAAAGGCTGACGCTGAGCGAAATCTATCAGTTTTTACAGGCCCGCTTTCCCTTCTTTAGAGGCTCTTACCAGGGATGGAAGAACTCCGTCAGACACAACCTGTCTCTGAACGAGTGCTTCATCAAACTGCCCAAAGGACTGGGCAGACCCGGTAAAGGACACTACTGGACCATAGACCCCGGCAGTGAGTTCATGTTCGAGGAGGGCTCCTTTCGCCGCAGACCTCGTGGGTTCCGTAGGAAATGTCAAGCTTTAAAACCGATGTACAGAATGGTGAACGGTATCGGCTTCGGTGCGTCCATGCTGCCGCAGAACTTTGACTTCCAGTCCCCTCCTGGGTCACTGGGCTGTCACGGCAGTTACAACATCGAGTTAATGGGTAATCCAGTGCCAGGTGGTTTTGAGGGGCTCGGAGGGGGGCATCACGTCCCACACATGTCGTCAGGCACCGGGTCACCGTACATGGCTGCATGTCAGGCGGCCTCCAACACGGACTACTGCCCGGACAGCAACAGCAGCCCCCTGCAGACCTCTCCGGCGGTGGTGGGCTCTCTGGACTGTCAGTCGCCTTATGCAAATGCAGCCTCACACTGGGGTTCATCTGGTGTGGCCTCATACATGAAACAGCAGTCACTGGCTTCTAGCAGCCCCACTTCATCTGCTCTGCACACGGGGATGTCGTCGTACTCCCTGGACCAGGGATATCTGCACCATAATGGACGAGATTCCTCTGACATTCCAGGTAGAGCTCCACTGTTTCGTATAAGATTTCATTCCTTATATATAATTCATGTTTGCACCAGCAAAATAATCAAATATCAAATACGTGCACAATTTATAAACATATCTAACTCAAAATATTGCTCACTTGTATATGTAAACGCAAGTAAATAGGGCTACAAATGTCCCAAAATGACACACGTAAGTACAACAACACTAACACTTTAGCACTAAATGATAAAATATTAAAATTGACGAGAAACAAACTGTCCCGCAATATTTACCCCGACAAGCTGTGAAAACATCTGTAAAATGTTTGCTATGGCAACAAACCTTTTCATGAATTTCCATTTGTATTTAAAGGCTTAGAGGAATTCAAATTCCTCGTGATTTTGAATTATTCTGTAAAGTCATAAATAAATAATACATTAGAACAAATAAAACACAATCCTTATATTGTGTGTTTATGATAATTCAGTATCTGCTCCCGTGTTCCGTTATTTGTTATTTTTCCATGATTAGCCGTCTATTTGTTTTACTAATGAATTTATGGTAAATATTGATTTTATGTGAAGTGATTTTGTGTCATTTAATTGATCGTTTACTTTTATTTTTATTTAACGTGGGCTGCAGGAAGAGTAGCAACCAGTTGATGGAATCTAATTAGGATCTCGAATCGACAAACTTTATATAAGTCATTATATTTTAATTTTAAATTCCCAAGTTTGTATTTGTATCTGTATTTGATCCGTCCTTTTGTTCATCTTTGTACTTATAGGAAGACCGTCCTAAATACAGTGGAGACGCACAATAATCCAATTAAACAAATGTCTTAAATACAGTAACATTTCAGATATTTGATTAATTTAAGTAAAAGTGTAAAGCATTCATTGCAGATTAACAGAGGCCGTTTCTTAAATAAAGACTATTACCATAATAATTGAATATGTTTCCATTGTTCCACGTTTATGTGCAAATTCACGATTGAAATGTCATTATTTACTTAATTAAGGCCCAATAATCAAACAATGTGTTGTTATTACATTTTAAGTCAGTGACGTCATTAACAGTCAATCACTGTTGTATGTATTTGCCCCACCTGAGATATATAGAAAGATAAATAGACACAGAGCTAAATTACTAATAATAATTGAAATAAATCCGGTAATAAGTAAATAGAAAAGAACATAAGCGACACTGGAAATGGCGGTGGGATACAATCACAATAAAGACTATTTTAAAATAGGTCAATAGCGAATTATAATAAAAGGAACCAGGTGTTTCTTTAATTAGATTCACACATGATTTAAAATAATATCTTGATAAACAAACAAAAATTACATATTTTATCAACGTAAATCACTATATGCAATTGTAACTCTAAATAGTATTTCATTCTTTTTTGACAGTAAAAACAGAACGAGGTTATATATGTAGTTACTGATTTCTCTGTGTTTGTCCACAGTGGGACTTTCTCGATATTCCAGCCACCCAGCTTCTGTGTGTGACAGGAAGGACTTTGTCCTGAACCTGAACGGAATCTCTTCCCTTCATCCCAGCAGCGGAGGATCTTATTACCATCAGCTCCATCACCATCACCAGAGTGTGTGTCATGACGTCAAGCCACGTGTGATGTGACAGCGTGAAGATTAAAAACTGACCGGTGACCACGTGAAGGCTCGGTCGATGTCAGTGTTATTGCATTTTCCTGAGGACTGCGGACCTTATAAACGGTTTTTACTGAAACGTATGATATGAGGACTTGTTGTGACACTTCACTTGCACGACACATGCATAAGCAGTATTATCTTTCTTTTTTTTTTAAATGTATCTCTATCTTTATTCATGCACTTAATTGTTTTGTCCCGATGTTTTCTTAAAGATGTTACAAGTCATTAAAGAGATTTATTTTTGAAGGGCATTATCTTGGTGTCTAACATTATTATTATTATCATTATTATTATTATTATTATTATCATTATTATTATTATTATCCTCAAACGTTATTATAAAATATCAATTCTGCGTTGCTCATTTGTCAAGTTACCGATTGTAAAATCGGTTTACCGATCTTAAAGATATTCCCTTCAAGAAAACTGTGCTAGTTTTCAATCTTTTAGGTGTTTTTTAAAATATATTTTGCAACATAACTTTCATATTTCGTACTGTAAATACAAGTTGTATTATTTAAAAGCAAGCATTTGCGCCCTAAAAGTATGGTTCAGAGAAACACAATCTTTGAAACCTGCATGCTATAATGGTGTCTGCATTGTTGTTTTAAAATGAAAAATATTGTTTTAAAATATTTAACGTTCACTCAAATAACGGAAATAATTTATTTTAGCCCAAGTCGAACAACTTTGCTGAGGCATATTGTCTTTAACGAAACGTTACTGCCATCTTATGGACATGGCTCAGAATTTGGGTATTTTTATTGACAAAAAACTATTGATAGGTAATCAGTTGTGGCTGCAAATTATTGTCAACATTTATATTTTTTATTTTATTTTAAATGTTGCAGCATTGTGACGCTCTAGACGACTACCTATTGGGCTTACACCAAGTGCCAGATCTGACTTGGAGTCAAATCAACATTCCCTCAAGGGCTAGTTGTAAAAACACAAGTGCTCACATTTTCATTCATATTGATGAATACATCTCTGTACATATATATAAATGTACGTAAATACAAATTAACATAACGGAGGTTATTAGATGCATTTTTTTACAGTTGGAAGAAGACAATGTATGTGAAGGCAACAAACTGGGTCCGACTAATAATCAGGAGCTGCTAAAGAACATTTCTGACAGATGTGGAATTGCACATTATCAAATGACTGCACAGCCATCGCCAGCCGAGGTAGTATACAGTAAGAAAAAAAACAACAAAAAAAAAATCAACCTTGCATTAACACATACTTAGTATGACAACAACATAAAATCCCTACCCATACCAAGTAGTAAGGAGTGTTCCAGTACCATTGTTTTCAATACAGTTTTAATGTACTGGTCGTTTGTATAGAAAAAACAGTTTTAATGTACTGGTCGTTTGTATAGGAAACACATGTGGCTAATATTGTGACAGTGTGTACAATATACTGTCTGGATCTGAACAGTCACACACGACAAAAAGCCCAGCAACAGCAACATCTAGCGGTAAAGTAACACGTTACCTCTCATCGTCCCATACCTCACTGGTCCTGTTCAGCCATTCGGTTATCAACAAAACACAAGAGGTGTGTCTTTAATAGCAAATGCAAAAACACTATGAACACTTATTTCTGAGACAAGAAAAAACGAAGAAGGAGACCAAAAGACAATGAATAGATCCTAGACATCCAGACGGTGGTTAACAATAGGTGATTATTCTACACAAGTTACAAAATAATTGCGTGGTCGTCATTTAGCACATGTGCTTGACTGGTCTGCTGGTCGTCCAATTCTTTAATCCTGTTGAAAATGTGTAAAAACACACAAACAAACAAGAACAAAAACCCCTGTCGCATATTTTGAGAAATTTAGTAATGTGTCCCTTTATTATTATTATTATTTACTTTAAATGTCACCTATAAGGATGTCACGATCTCTCGATATCACATTATTTGCGTGAATAAGCGTTACGGTAAATTTTTAAGGGAACGGAACTATAATTGACGGAGCCAAAAAAACGTTACACAACACCTGCTCATTGCGGCGTTTGTTGCTTGGTTTCCGGTCCCCAGGAAGGAACACCTGCAAGTTGCAGAAGAGAAGCGTCCTGAGGTAGAAAAAATGGCAGAAAAAGTGTTATTCTCTATAAATGCATCATTAAATCAGCCGTGTGGGATTACTTTGGCTACAGAGGGAAATGACCAGGGTGTCGCGGTGGACGGCGGCGTGCCAGAAACACCGGCGGTACAACCCCCTGACTTTGTTCACCAAAATAAAGGTAAATGCATGTAAATACACAGTAACATTATACTGTTCGTATGTAAACATAGCATCAGGTGCATTTTTTTCCAGGTCGTCGGACAGTTTCAGAGTCCGTGTGCAGTGAACTGTAGATGAAAACGCCACTTATCTGTGAGTAAACGTTGGACTTGTCCATCTAAACTAAATTAAACTCAAACATATGGCATACATGAAAATTAATGACTTAATTTAAGAATTTCCTCTCGGGGATTGCTCTTACAGTATATACAAGTATTGTGTCATATATTTTTTAATGTTATTATATAATGCGTCTGATATTACTTTACATAAAGGTTGAAATCCTGCAGACTTTACCGTCTTTGAAAGTGCATGTGTAGCATTTTTTGTTTTTGTTTTATGGTTTAATCGTCGTATTTTTTTATTACCTGACTTTATTGCTATATATTTTAGGTATGTTGGCAACAACACATTCGTTGTGCTGTGAGATCAGTACCTTCTGCCTTTTCTGAACTTTAAATCACCGAGCGCTGGACCAATGTTGACCATGTGGTGGCAGCACGGTTTCATAAATGTTCTGCAGCCTCTGCACTCGATGTTGCTCGGCAGTAATGAATCACTTACAGTCTCTCTGAGTTTTCTGTGGTTGTCATTCGATAGGCCGCAGGTGCAAAAAAAGTCCCCCCACTGCTTTTAAGCATGGTAGTGTGATTTTTGGGTCTAAGTGTTAGGACATGCCTTTTGTTATTATTCATTCAAGTCGCTTTATTCTCAGGCATTCCATATCTTTAAATTAACATTACCTTCATTTTGGTTTACCCTTGTTTATTTACTTTTGTTCTAAAATGATATGCTAACCTGTAGGTACATGTTGGCTAAGTTTTATTTGACTTAATTGTGATATTCAACTTTAAAATATCTCCATTGTATTTCGGACAACTTCTAACGGCTTTGTTTACATGTTATCTGCCTGATTTTTAACCAGCAGCTATGCTTAACTTGGAATTTTGGTTGCTTACTTCTACAACACTGATATAAAACAAAAGAACAAATCAAGAAAGTACGAAAGACGTGCTGGACTTACATGCAAATGCGTTTATTGTTTTTCATCAATTTCGTCAGTTTATCATTTTAGTCATTGACAAATATTGTTTGAATTTCTCAAATCAGTTTACTTTGTATTGTAAACACCGACAATTCGATGGCCGCTAGAGGGAGCCACATCCAAAGTTTTTGATCTATTTTAATCTTTCGTCTATTTACTGTATGTATGTATCTATCTATGAAGTCAATACAACATCAACGTAATATAATAATAATAATGATAATAATAATATAATAATAATGATAATACAGATATAACTGTGAAAATAATTTTATTTACATGCTATTTGATGTATTTCAGGTTTGACAAAATAATATGCCTAGATATATAACAAAGTTGGTCGAAAGTCTTACTATTAAATATCGCTTTAAATATAATATAATCAGACTTTAAAGTATAATCCTACAAAATTAGAACAACACCAAAATGACAATGTCATTAAAAATAAATAAATAAAAACATATTTGGTTTATTGAATATGTAACACAGCTATTTCATTATAAAGCTTAAAAAAGAAAAAAGAAAAAACGGTTTCCTGAGGTTCTGTGTTATTCTGACGCGTATTCTTCCCTTCTCACTGCTCCGCCGTGCCTCACTAATAAACAGTTAAGGTGGACTGGGTGGGCAGGCCACGGTATTAAGTGGAAGGCCCGTTCTGAATTGTGTAAACAGCCCGAGGCGGTGGAAAAAGTTCATGCCCGGGTCCATGTAAGGAGAAACCGGCTCAGCACCAGGCCACTGCACGGACATTTAATTAAGACGACCTGCGGAGGATTACAGCAGTGCTGGAGTGTAATGTTGCCTCACAATCACCTATAACAATTTCATGCACAGTCGCCTCTGACAGCAATGAAAAACACCCAGAATTAGGCCTAAAAATGCCGTTCTGTTTTTAAACAGAATAAAATAATATTTTTAGCACTTTAAAAACCAGCACGAATATAACATATATGTGTATATATTTTTTTTAAATAAAGGCTTTAAAACACAGACCTATCGTCAATTTATTTTTGTCCACTTAACGAGATGATAAATGTTTTAGGGGCCACAGGTGACAACACATTTGATAGCTTTAGACATTTGGTTCCCGTCAGTAAAACGGTTTTAGTAAAAGACAAAGTCCATCACCTTTAGCACAAACCCTCTTTAATTTCCTTTTTAATGAGATCGCACTTCACCTTTGCCAGGACCCAAAAAAGAAAGGGTCTGTTCTGCTTTGATCTTAGTTCATCTGTTTGTCTGAGTCTGGGGTCTTTTTTTACTAAAAAGAAAACAAGTCATAGAGAAGAATAAACTGTGCGTAAAATCCACTATTTGGTTCCCCAAATTTTTTCATCCGAAATAACGGAGACACAAGCTTATTTAGTGAGCTGTTGGTTATAAAACTGAGGGATAAATAATTAATAATTCATATTAATTAAATAAAACAAATGTTACAGTTATTGTCATTTAAATGCTGCGGTTGTATTTTCTTTGGGTAACGCGTTTGTGGAGCGTTTGTTGAGGATAATTAGAGATCTGACGATTTTTAGCACTTGGTTCCGTGCATCTGTGATCAGATACATGTGAGTTGCTACGGCACGTCTGAAGTCTTGGCTGCAGTGGGGCAGGGAGTTACCGACACCTTCTCTCCTTTTACTAAAAGCACAGAGTGTGGCCAGGAGCTCGCTGCGCTCCCTGGCTCCCCATTGGACGGCCCGCGCACTTTCTGTGGGAGGAGCTCTAGTGGCAGCAAAAAGGAGCAAAGAATTTAACTGCGCAAAAAGTCCTGTGTGGTGACGGATGTCCAAAGTCCAGAAAGACTTTCAATGTGCGTTTGTTCCACAGACCTTCAGAGATGGGGACGGCTTAGACGCGTCGGAGTTCCAGTAACGCAGCACCCGTTTGAATCACTCTTTTCCTCTGTTACTGCTTCTAGTCAACAGTGAGGGACTGTGATTTCTGAGCGCCCCAGCCTTCAGAGGGAAGAGAAGTGGAGCTCCCTGTCTGCCGTTTTGGAAGCTATATATCGTCGGATCAGAGTGAAGACATGCAGGCTCGCTACTCCGTCTCCAGCCCCAACTCTCTGGGTGTTGTGCCCTACATCAGCAGCGACCCCAGCTATTACCGGGCCGCGGCCGGCGGGGGATACACTGGGATGCCAGCACCTATGAACATGTACTCTCATGCGGCACATGACCAGTATCCTGCCAGCATGGCCCGTGCGTATGGACCGTACACCCCGCAGCCTCAGCCGAAGGATATGGTCAAACCTCCCTACAGTTACATCGCGCTCATTACCATGGCTATCCAGAATTCTCCAGACAAGAAGGTCACCTTAAACGGGATATATCAGTTTATTATGGAGAGATTTCCGTTTTACAGAGATAACAAACAGGGCTGGCAGAACAGCATCAGGCACAATCTGTCTCTGAATGAGTGTTTTGTCAAAGTGCCCCGTGATGACAAAAAGCCTGGTAAAGGCAGCTACTGGACCCTGGACCCGGACTCTTACAATATGTTCGAAAATGGGAGCTTCTTGAGGAGGAGAAGACGGTTCAAGAAGAAGGACGCGCTGAGAGAGAAGGAGGAGCGGCAGCAGAAGGATCTGCAGCCCAGGCAGCAGCAAGGCCGGGAGCAGGAGCAGCCGGTGCAGGGCTCTCAGCCAGTCCGGATCCAGGATATTAAGACCGAGAACGGCACAGTCACGCCACCGCAGGCCGACTCGCCCACCCTGAGGACCGTGCCAAAAATCGAGAGCCCGGACAGCAGCAGCAGCATGTCCAGCGGGAGCCCTCACAGCATCCCCTCTAGCAGGTCCATCGGCATGGACAGCTCCGAGCACCACCAGCACCACAGCCAGGCCTCGACGCAGGGCTTCAGCGTCGACAACATCATGACCTCCCTTCGGGGGTCCCCACAGGGGTCCACAGAGCTCGCCCCCAGCCTAGGCGCCTCCACCCGGACAGGTATAACCCCGTCGTTGTCCCTTAACTATTCTCCAAGTCAGACATCTGTCTATAGCTCGCCGTGTAACCAAAACACCATCTCCACTACCTCCAACGCTACCTATCATTGTAACATGCAAGCCATGAGCTTGTACGCCGGGGACAGATCTGGCCACTTGGCCCCGAGCACCACCGTGGACGAAACGCTGCCAGATTATTCTGTCACGACCACCGCATCCTCCCTGAGCCACGTTAATCTTAATTCTGGCCAAGAGGGCCACCATGCCCACCAGGGGAGGCTGACCTCATGGTACCTCAACCAGGCCGGAGACCTGGGCCATCTGGGCGCAGCTTACCCTGCAGCAGCGCAGCAGCAGAACTTCCACTCTGTCCGTGAGATGTTTGAATCCCAACGAATTGGCTTGAATAACTCGCCGGTGAATGGGAATAACAGCTGTCAGATGTCATTCCCACCGAGCCAGTCCATCTATCGCACTTCGGGAGCTTTTGTATACGACTGCAGCAAATTCTGACCTTAAAAACAACAACAACAACAACAATAACAAAAGACAGGCCTGATATTTTTTCCTCACGGTGTATGAACTCTTCCAGTAGATTTCTGTCCCTGTCCAGGCCCAACCTCCTCGCTCGTCCTCACAATATGAACTAATACGAGACAGAAACAAAAACACAAACCAGAGACTTGATCTTGGTTTTTCTAAAGAACAGTGTTACTGCCAATAACACGTAAGTCTCTCTTTGCTTTTGTGCCTTCTTTGTGATATACTAAAGATATGCCAGTTTTCATGTGTCCGTGTAAATTGCATATAGTAATTTATTTCTAAAGTGTAGCCGGATATTATGGACCAAACACCAAAAAAGTGTTTCTAAATTGAACTGCCTTAATTGTCCGAAAAAATATGTTCCATTATAGTTAAAGTTAAAAAAGGGAACGTGTATATCGCCGTACTATTTCAAAGATTCTTCATTTGTTGAAAAGTATTTTTTTTCCTGAAGGATTTTGTTTTTGTTTGTTTAATAAATTTGTCAATTTAAGCGAGTTTAAGTTACGCCTGGTTTCTTGCAGACTTAAAACGGGCTGGTGATATTTTACACTCAGTCTGACCCGTGCTAACGTAACATAGAGGGCAAACAGGCCTCAGAATGAATCTGACCATAAAACATCGTGGGATTTAATTTAATTCTGAGATGTTTTAAATCATATAGAAAAAGGCTAAGATTATTTTTTAGGATAAAATATCTATGTTTTTGACGTTTTTTCTGATGTAGTTGCTCTGTTTTGGTGAAGAAAAAAAAACGCAGGGAAAGTTTTGACAGCATCTTTGTCCGCACGCCCTTTAAATGACAACGGTCAGGGAAACAGAACAACAGAAAAATAGTCAGCAGAAATGTTTTTTTTTTATTTGTACACATAATTTAAAAATAACTTTTTGGGACATGTCATTACAAGATGGAGGCAGAACAAACTGAGCTCCAGGCCCAGTCCTGGGAAACAGCACGCACCAGAACTCTCCTTTTGGATGAGGTTTTCTGTTTACTGTTTACATGCCAGTGCTTCCTCTATACCATACCACACATGCCAAAGAGGGTGCAGTTGTCACTGAGCTAGGATGGTTGAACACACAGAGCTCTGACACGACACACACACACACACACAAAGCTGAGCACTGGGCATCGAAAGGCGAAAGTGGGGAGAATTGTATTTATTTTTCCTCTAAATTTGTCAACGTCTGGTTCTACTGTAATCCTACAGCAGTCACTGTAAAACGAGCAGATTCAAACAAATTGGTTGCAGCCGACGTGACACAGATTTAATCTCGTTTAATCACATTCAGTGACAAATCATCAAACAGAGCTAAAATAAATACACATTAGTATTATTCAATCAGCAGGAGCCGCCTTCGTCTTACTTACCATTATGAATACTTACAAAGTCAATAATCAAATTTAAATAAACAATTTTGCTTCGTTACAGTTTTTACGTCAATTTATCATTTTATTACGATGTAGGTTTAGTTTTTTAGTTTTAATATTTATTTTTTCTTTGCGCATGTTTTGTAAGCAAATAATAATAATAATAATAATGGTGAGGTTTTTTTAAATAAAATAATACGGTTCGAGTATGAATCGCTGTAATTAATATCGTCATTTAAACGCACTACTAGTGTAGCAACAGTTACAATTGTCAATAGTCTACGTGTTCAATTAAGAACAGACTCCATGATTGAAAATTATTTTACCATAATTAATTTGTTATGTCAGAAATGACATAAAATCAAATTAATTTAACATGCCGGCCATTGTTTTTTTATTGACAAATGTAAGATTTTCTTTTCTCTTACGCTGATGGCCAACAAATAACACAGGCGACCACTGGCACCAGAACGTCATCTGTGTAAACTGTGACGTGAGGTTGTGATTCTGACCCCTTTTTATGACGTCATAAACAACATTTTGTGCAGTTTCGTACATGTTATGTAATTTTATAGAATAGTGCTATACTATAGCCTCTAGTAAAAAAAAAAAAGAAAGAAGCGGAGCTCTTATAGAACAATGTGAGAAGGAAGACAGCGATATATCAACAAATCAGAACAGAGCATGTAGGAATGTCAGACCATACAGTACGATCAAAAAACCCCAAAATATGTCTTGTCCAGGGCAGCAGCCAGTCCAGACCCTGCTTGCCAGCCCCGACTACAATCACAGGCCCATAAAAGTCATTAGATACTTTCCCAAGTAAAAGGCGCAATAAACAAACGGTCGTGTTAGTCAAAAGATTGATGGCGCCCTCACAGAATGGACCAGGTCAGGAAGGAATAAAATTCAATCAGAGAGCTGGAATCGTTTTTCATGAGACGGAAAAAGGCAGAGAGGGAGACGGGGGTCAATGAGGAGGATGTCGGCCAGGAGAGCACACCATCAACAATATAACAGGACATAGCAGAGCCACACAGAGAAGAAGGGGGGGGGGGGGGTAGTCTGATTAGAGTTTTATAACTGTAAATTAACGGTACAATTAAATGTGAACATAAACGTAGAATAGAAGCTGCTCAAAAAAAAACAAAAAAAAAAAAAACAATACACGCCTGCTGCTAGGACTGGGGAGCTGAAAACTACTTTATTTTATTATAATATAATATAGTATAATATAATATATGAAGAAAACTATATTGATGTAATTTGATGTAATTTAATATTCTACAAAATTACATGCTAAATAAACTACGCTATTCTAGGCTGGATTATATTATGTATTCTATTATATATCAAACTAAATTTGTAATAAACTGTACTGTACTAAAATATGCTGGAGTAGACTGGACTGGATCAAACTATAATATTTGTTATATACAGTATCATGACATACTAACCTTTACCTTACTGTACTATACTAGAGTCGCGCAGTAATGTAATATTATACTAGACTATAGTATAAGTATAGTATAAATATTGTATTTTATATTAATATATAATAAAATGTACAAAATTGTGTAATAATACAATATGTACTATACTTTGTTCATGTATACGAGTATTACATATATACACTGTACTATACTTTTCTATACAGTATATTGGGTCAAATTTATTTTCAAGCAGATTTACTTTGTCCATGTGATAGGATAGATGTGAGGCTCCTGTGACGACACGCTTGCATGTGATTGGACGGTGTCTGTGAAGGTTCTGATCCAAGATGCTTCTGCAGAACTGCCGAAGTTCTGGTGAAGCTACTAGGATCAAATGTCGGAACTGGACTTTAAGAGACCGAAGCATTCCCAGTTGTCGTGTTCTAAAACTTTTTTGAATTATAATATATTTATAAATATATGTGTGTGATCCCCGGTTCGTGTGATTCGGGCTCCTTGGTTCCCTGTTTTCGCCTGCACCGAGGCTCGACTCTCCTCTTTCCTCTAACGTTCCGCTACATTCCTGAAAATGCACAACTTCCCTTCAACTGCTTTGGGTCAAATAGCAAAGACAAACGCGCCTGTAGTGGAGTTCACCTTAATATTTAAACAAATCAAAAACTACACTATCAGATCCAACATTTATTATTTCTGTTTTGGTACGAAGGCTGCTTTGAATTCGGTTAAAGTGACTCAAATGTGGTTGTTTTTTGTTTTAAAATCCCGTGAACCAAACACTTATGGAGCTAAATATTATTTTAATCATCGGAACAATTCTATGGTTTTACAGGCAGCTAAATTTGACCTGAAGTGGGTGTAGCCAGTGTTTTTTGCCCTGGAGGTAAGTTGGAAGTTAAGGCCTTAAAAAAATTGATCGTCTCCCAGAACACGTGATTTATCTATTCTTTTCAGATGACATGGGCACAATGACGATTGAGTACAAAAATATAATTAATTGACAAAGACAGATGGCTTTGTTGTGTCAAAAGTTCTCTGGAAACTACAATCAGAGAAAACTTGACCTTCAAACTCCAGCTTTGACGATGTGCGGCTGTCGTCCATGAACGCAACAACCCGAAGGGCAAAAGTAACTGTGAAGTAACTATACTAGGGTAGTGATACGTTGAATACTGTGAATTTGTAGCAGTGCTTTTAGTTTCGAAATTAACAATTATGTAGTCGATTATGTAATTTACGTTTGCGATTTTGATTAAAACGCAGATTGGGTGTATGGGAAAATAAGAGGTCGTCATTTTCTTAATCCTTAATGTGGTGGATTCACACAGATGGTTCTGGGTCTGTGATGTCCACCTTTTATAAACAATCTATTAACCTGTCCTCGGACCATCCACACTGACCATAATGGACTAGGCGTAAAACGCGCAGCATCTGAGTCCAACCTTTTCCCAGAAGAAGTCTCGTGTGTTCAGTCCGCTTGTGGCAACTCATTCCATGTTCCGTTCATTTTAAATGGGGAGGGCAGAGAGGGGAAGAGAGAGTGGATGCACTGAAGCCTCCAGTGTGAGCAGTCTGTGTGTGCACCTGTATGGATCACTAACCAACTCAGCTCACTATGGAAAATGCTGGCTGACTTTTTTTTCTCCTCCTCCTCCTCCTCCTCCTTCTTCTTCTCCTGTGTTAAAAAGCTCCAAAACGCCATCTGCTTCTAATTAAATAGTCCATAGACGCAATTTCTGTCTGCGCTTCGGCCAAACGAGTGAAAGGTTGGAGGTCCAGCACTTGCCTCTCTCTCAGAGGGGAAAATAAGCGCTGCTTGCAGCCTGTCGTGCAGCGTGTCTCATTTTTAAGACAAATGATTATCGTCAAGTGAAATGATTCACTCGGTTTTGTCCAAAGAAGGAGCGTGGACGTGCGCAAACACGGGCTTCTCGGTGCGGCATCCCCGTCTGAGCAAAAGAAACGGATTGGCGCACACTAGCAGACCATGGCACGTTGGGATAATGGGGTACTGTGAATTCAGAGCTGAGAGGGAAACGGCCGACCTGCGAGTAACCCGGACGGCTGAAAAACGAACAGAGTTGCCTTCAAGGTTTACACAAAACCTGCTTCTCTGCAGCTCGGCCCTGCGGTTTCTAATTATAGCACCTATTTTACGCACGGAGGACGTCAGTGAATGTCGCAATTATAGCGGCAAGACATACACTATTTTTATTGTCAGGTAGTTTAATTTTATGATTATTGGCCATTTTTCTGGTCCACTTTACAACATTCTTTTTAATCCGAATATTCGGTGAGGAATAAAGCTTTAATTCCACCGCAGGTGTGGCTGATAAAGGTTAAAGCATGTGTTTATATATTATCTTTTGTTAAAAAAAACTTGGTATTTTTATGGACTTTTTATGACAAAAAGTGATATATTAAATCAATGCTCTTCATGGATAAAATTAATTCTTGTTAATTCGTATTTTCTCCTTCATGTCGATCATAAATAAAATATGACAGAACAAACAGTTCGAAAGGGACAATAGGATTTTGACTTTATGGCACATTCTGTGTTCTCCAAAGCGTGTGTGGAACAGTGTCAGCCAAGTCTGACTCTGTCGTTTGTGACATGGGAGGCCACTGCAGCTCCTGCTGTCTGTGCCACAGTAGCAGTTGTCTCTGTCTT